TGTTTTAACATAATTCAAGCACAGTGTATAATCACAGACTTAGAAGAAATCTTCAAGAAAAGCAGTCTGCTTCTTCACACAGTTAATATTATAGATAAGAACATCATTCTAGATCTTCTGTAATTGAGAGAAAACAATTCTCTCATTAACTGAGTCACTCAGATGTGACAGTATTATCTCACTAATAAAGAGACAGTGATAGAGAAATCTGAAGAGTTTTATCAGAAGAACCTTGAGAAAAAGATTGAGTCAATATACTGTATAGCAGATGACTGAGACTTGAGAATAGATGAAGAAGTTATCACTCTTACTATAAGATTAGCAGCAGTATTCATTATTAAAGACAGATATACACAACATCTCTTTACAGATTTTAAGAATATCTTTTCAGAAAGAGAAGCAGTGAAGTTTTCTAATATCAAGATATAATATAAGATTTATCTTGAAGACAGTGTAACAGTGCTGTATAAGTCTCTTTACAACTTATTTATAAAGAAATTGAATATTCTGCATAAATATCTTGAAGAAGCACAATCAAAGAACTGAATATATTTATCAAAGAGTTCAGCAGAAACATCTATACTCTTTGTACTTAAGAAGAATGATAGACTACATCTATGTATAGACTACAGAGATCTTAATAAGATGACAGTTAAGAATTACTATTTATTATTATTAATTAACAAGATGATCAATCAATTATCTGAAGCAAAGATGTTCTCAAAGATTAATATACAGAATATCTATCATAGAATCAGAGTTAACAAAGATAATATTTGAAAAATGACTTTTTATATCAAGTACAGTAATTTTGAATATCTTGTTTTATCTTTTGATCTTTATAATGCTTCAGTCATCTTTCAGATCTATATAAATAAGGTACTGCAGAGCCTTATTAATATCTTCTGTATAGTATACTTAAACAACATTCTAATCTTCTTAAAAATAAACAAAGAACATAATATTCATGTTCAAGAAGTGTTAAGTCACTTGAGATAGTATCAACTCTATATAAATACTGAAAAATGCTCATTCTATATACAGGAGATTAATTTCTTAGATTATATTATTAAGATGAATGACATTTCAATGAACAGAAGCTGAGTCTCTGCTATTAAGAACTGATCAGCCCTGCAAACATATCATGAGATGCAGATGTTTCTAGAATTTGTGAATTTCTACAGATAATTTATCTATACATATTTACAGATTACTGTCTCTCTTACAGATCTGTTAAAGAGAAGTATGAAAGACAGAAAAATAGAACTATTTATTCTCACTCAAGACACTGTACAGATATTTATGAAATTGAAACAAGCTTTTACAGATGTTATAATACTGAATCACTTTAACTCTGATTTACTCAGTCAGTGTAAGACTGATATATCTGAGAATAAGATCTGTGAAATCTTTTCACAGTTAACATCAGAGATCTTTCAATATTGAAAGAATTAGAGAATAATCATCTCTAAGAAAACAGATAATGAATTATCTGTAAGAGAAGACTTTTTCACAGAGTCTATAAAACACTGTGAATAAAGATTAGTGATCTTCTTCTTCAAGAAGTTATCACTCACACAGAGAAGGTATGATACTTATGATCAGAAGATGTTAGTAATTATTGAATTCTTTAAAATCTGATAACATTATCTTCAGAGTAGTAAGTACTCAGTGCAAGTTCTCACTGATTATGCAAATCTGCATTACTTCTTGATAATAAAGAGCTTGACAGAACATCAAGCTAGATTAGACTGGCCGCCGGGACCATGAATTTCACATTTAGTCTCATTTGGTCTGATCTTATACATTTCTTGACGTGAGTCTCACCAGGACCAAGCCTTAAAAAATCTGAAAATGAACCATTTCTGAGAGAAATGATGTGAAAAATGACCAGATTTAATTCAAGAATAGTGAAATGAGAGTAATTTTTCAGAATAAACTGTGAAAGATGATCATTCTTTCAAAATCAGAATGAAACTGAGACTGAAGATCAAAATCAGTCTCATTCAGTTCATTCAGTGATTGCTTATATAATCAGAATTTGATAACAATTATTAATAACACTCATGAAACAACTAAATACATTCTTGTGTAAGTTTATTCTTCACTTTCTCATGAAAACTACACTTCTCTGATATACTGTGATCAGAGGTATTAAACTGTCTGATAATTTCATGTTTTATAATCATGAGTTTCTTGATTATTTCTCCTTGTAATTGTTCTCAGTGATAGTGATAAATATCTTAACTTGAGTTGAACTTTCACTTCATTCTCATCTCTATCAATGAAATTGTCAGAATATCATGTATTATCAGTG